ACTAAATTATTTGTCATCATCATCATCATCTTAGAACTGTAGAACTGGAAGGGACTCTATGGATCATCAAGTCCAGCCCCTGTCAAGGAGCCACATTGGGGAATCGAACTCCCAACCTTTGGCTCCACAGCCAGATGCCTAAACCACTGAGCTATCCAGAAGTTCATGCCAAAGGCCGGGAGAATTTATGTGTTTATAAATATAAATTATGCTGAGAATGCTGGGCTCTTTCCCCATGCCAGGCAAAGATACTTTGGGTAAACTGGAACTGAATTGTGAACTAAACTTGTCCCTGAGTAGAAAAAGGAAGATTTTACCATATTAATATGCTTTCAGTAGAAAGTAGGCAGCTAGGCATATCTCTTTTGTCAATTAAATGGATATACTTACAAAAAGGAAAGCAAGAAAATAGTCAGTGGTCAGTATCCTGTGATCTAGTTCTGCCTGCACAGCAGCAATGACATCATTTTCAGATTGCCATTGATTAAAGACTTTGTTTTTTAATTTCACCCTACAGACGACTCACTCTTTGTGTGCTGGGTTGCATGACTGATCTCTCAACCAGTGCAAAAATGGGCGTATGACGGGGAGCCTGCTGAAATATAGGAGTGCTTATTGTGATTGCTCTTCTGCTCCACGTTTGCTGAATAGGAGCTAAAGGGGCTGCAGAAGGGGAGCCTCAAAACAATGCATTAGATCCAGATTAGAGTTTGGATTAAATAATCACCATCCTGACATTTCCCTCACTTTAGTCCATACTTTATGATACGTCCCCTCTGAAACAACATTAAGTCCTGTGCTGCCTGGAGGATTCTAGGAGCTGCAATACAAACAGTCCCATATCCAAGCTCTGTGTATGTATCTCTGTGCAGGTTTAAACCTGGGTCTCCCAAAGCTCCCAGTAAACCTAATACTTTACTAAAGACAAATACTTTGCAGTATAGGCTGTTTTGCTGGTTGGATAGCTCCGTGAGTTAGGACAGTGGTTCTTAACCTTGGGTTACTCAGGTGTTTTTGAACTGCAACTCCCAGAAATCCCAGCCAGCACAGTTGGTGGTGAAGGCTTCTGGGAGTTGCAGTCCAAAAACACCTGAGTAACCCAAGGTTAAGAACCACTGAGTTAGCATACCTACCTGGTCAGGAGTTAGATTCCTCAGTATACCTCCTGGGAGAAGAGCCAGTCTTCATAGCCTTGGGGAAGCTGCATGCAGTGGTGCCTCGCATAGCGAGGTTAGTCTGTTCCGGATTAACCTTCGCTATGTGAATACTTCGTTAAACGGGACTAAAAAAGCCATTGGAATGCATTAAACATCATTTAATGCGTTCCAAATCGGCAGAAAACTCACCGTTTAACGAAGTCTTCCCATAGCCGGCAGCCATTTTTGCGCCCTCGGTAGGCGAGGGGAGGACGCGAAAACGCTGCACGTGGCCATTTTGGCTGTTCTGGCGGCCATTTTGGACCCGCCGAACAGCTGCACCGCGGGTCGCAAAGTGAAGGTCGGTAAGCGAAACGCTTACCGATCTTCGCTATGCGAGTTTCAGCCATAGAGGCTGACGTGATGCCTCCGCACTAGCGATCCCGAAAAAGGGATCGCTATGCGGATTCGTCGCTATACGAGGCGCTCATTAAGCGAGGCACCACTGTAGTTCCAGAAGAAGGGGTTGGTAGACCTACCTAGAAAAGATTGCTGTACATTGGAATCATTCTGATGGCATTCCATTACTATTTTAAATCTTTGATAACTATTAATTAATGTGCTTACCTGGAGATACTCCATTCAAGACAATTAAGATCTAACTTGGTGGTCAGTCCTTGGGCTTACTATGCAGGGTGTAAAAATGGTAAGACAAGGCATGTGAGCCGCAGTTACAGCGCAGCACCACAAAATGTAACATTGAAATGCAACCTTAGACTGTGTAACACTCCATCTTGCCCTGCACTTTCTCCTTTATAGGGTATGGTGTCTTTCCTAGTTTTGCTACAAGTTATATTTCAAATGACATAGGCTAGAACTGAACACCTGGGAGCTTCAACATGCAGCCATGGACCTCCATTCTGTCAAAGTTTTCTTTGTGTTGTTATGATACCCAACAACTCCCTTTCACCATAAGTCAGGTATGAGAATTACAGTGTAAGAGTTTGTGCAAACGGCACATTTCTCAGGTGCATGCCACAAAGCAGCTAGAAGGTCATCTTTCCTGTTGTGAATAAGGTGGGAACATGTTAGTACATTTTTTTAAAAGGAAAAGGAAGTTACAAAGGCCGAAATCTACTAGTAAGCTGCAACTACAGTAGGCTCCTTGAATCAATGGCATTTAACAAGGGGTTCGGTCATCAGATCCCCACGGATTCAACATAGTATTTCCTAGGGGATGCAATTAGAAGTTGTCTGGGTCAAGATCTAAGATCATAAATGGAGATAGAAACTAACTATGTATTTACCTAAGCATGGGACATCAAGTGGTTGGTTTAAATAATTGTTTTGGGCAATTTGAGTCCAATACTGGGTACACTGAGGAGCATTGTATTTGCCTTCTGCATAAGTTTGCACTGCCATGAGAAGAGAAATAAGTATAAGCAGCATTCAGCTCATATCAAAGCTGACTGTTTGGGGAAGAAAATATTCTTAGAACCATGGCCAGTGAACCTTTTTTTCTTAGCTCCTTTTCCAACTCCCAAGTGCTGTTTAGTGGAGCTTTTCCAAATATAGGATGTTGTGGTGAAAGTCGGCCATTCTGCAGTCTACAGCACTGACCTCATATTTAATTTGGTTAGCAAGCTGTATTTTGCAATACCAGACCACAGTCCAATCTGGTGGAAGCTCCATTTTGTTCTGTATATGTGATTCCCCACGCCACCCTCTTCGCCTTGTGGATGGGCCTGGAGTGAAAATGAAACTAACCACCTGGGAGGTGAAAGTATTCTGACACAAAAATACTTACAGTTGCTTCAAAGTTCTTAGAAGGAGCTACCCCACTTTTCTCCTTTAAAAGGACTCAAGGTGGGTTACATCATTAGAATTCAATATTTAAAGTTAAAAACAGTAAGTGTGCAAATATTTAAAAGGGTCAAACAAATACAAGACTGAACAATGATAAACCACACCAACATCAAAACTGCATTCAAAGCAGTAAGGCACAACAATCCATTTAAAAATTCCACTCGGACAGCCAGTCACTCAGGGAAAACTTGCATGCGTGTAGAAGGACAGTAAAGGTGCAGCCAGCCTATGAGAGGCAATTCCAAAGTCTGGGAGCAGCCACAGAGAAGACCCTCTCCTGTCTCCATACCAAATGGCCTGTGAAGGTGGTGGGACTGAGAGAAAGATCTTTCCTGATTATCTTAGCACTTGAGCAGCCTCATAAAGGGAGATACATTGGGTCCTAGCCATTTACGGCTTTATAGGTTAGAACCAGTACCTTGAATTGTGCCTAGAAATGGATTGGCAGCCAGAGGAGCTGTTGTAATGTGGAGGGGGGGAGGGTATATAATCCCTGTAACCAGCCTCATTTGGCAATCTGGCTGCTGCGTTTTAGACCTGCTGAAGCTTCCTGAGACTTTCCATAGACATCCCCACTTAGAGTGTGTTACACTAGTCCAGTTGGGATGAAACAAAAGCATATGCCTCCACAGCCAGATCAGACATCTCCATGAATGGGTGCAACTTGCTCTCTAGCATTAATTCTGCAAATGCACCACTGACAAAACCTTGACATCCAGGCTCAGAGACGAATCCAGGAGCACCTGCAAGCTGCGCACCCATATTTTCAGAGGGAGTGTAACCCCATCCAGCACAGCTTGTTCCTTGTTCTGCCTTTCGACTGGCCAGGAGCACATCTGTCTTGTCTGGGGATTAAGTTTCAGTTTATTCACCCTCATCCAGTCCATTACTAAGGCCAGACATTGCTCTAGAGCTGAAACAGCTTCCTTGGATCTAGATTGCAAGGAGGGATAGAGCTGGGTGTAAACCTGCATATAATTATTACATTATATTATGTCTGCAATTTCATGAGGGATGATTTTGCTGCTTTTGCGGGGTAACTCAAATGTTTTATTGTTATGGGGATAAGAACTCACAAGATGCTAAAAGGGAAATAGCACACGGTCCCAAGTGGCAGGTCATGCTGTGCTTTGTGATGCTGTCTTGTGCCAGAGTGACCATGAGTTGGATGTGCTACAGATGTGCTTTGTACCAAATAAGCAGCCTTATTTGCATTTATATATTTTAAACAAGAATCTAAAAGTAACTATTTTGCTTATAAGAAATAGGAAAGTAAGGAGTTTCTTTTAAATTACTGGCATGATAAGGGCAATTAACTAGTTTATTTCAATCTTCCTCAGTGTGGAACTTTTTTTAAGGACATAGCCAAATGCAACTTGTTATTCCCTTTTCCTTTCTCCATTTGGACTTTTTTTTTTTTTTTGCTGTGTGTCAAGTCCTAGATTTGTTATGCAATTGTCTGTTTCCTTTCCTCTTCTTTGAGATTCAAGACAATCAAACTATTTAAAAGACAAAACAGATTGTCAAAGAGTTGAGACATTTTTTGCTCCAGGCCTCTTTGTTTCTTTTCTTTTCTTTCCTTTCCTTTTTTTTAAAGCTACCCAGGGCAAACTGCTTGTCATTAAATTCCATTTTCTTGGCAATTGCGATTAAGCGTATACATTTCTGGAGTCATTTGTGAAACATCAGCTGTCAGACATTTGTTCCAATTTATAATCATCCAGGATTTTCCACCGTTGCTTTCAAAGAACAGGGTTAGATGCATGCCCTGAAAGAGAGTTGGAAATGGTTTGCCGATCTCTATTAATCTGCTGTTTCTGTAATCAAACACATATGTTTGTTTATCTGGTTAAATTGCTAATGATATCAAAGTTGGCTGCTGGAAGCTGAATCATCCTGCAGACATTTCCGTTGCTTTTTCTCGGGTCTGTCTTGTGTTGTGGCCTGAGAAAGAACAATATATTTCTGCTGTTAAATCATTACACTAACTTCTTGCAGATAACATCTTAACGAGCAGCCCCAGCCCTTATTTTAGAAGAGTGAGATTTGATGTCTCGGCGATGGAGAAGAATGCTAGCAACCTGGTTAAAGCCGAATTCAGAGTCTTTCGCTTGAAGAATCCACATGCTTCTGTTTCGGAACAACGGATAGAACTATATCAGGTAAAGCTGCGTTAATTGCTGGTCCCTGATTCTCTGTTCATATGTCAGATGTCTATCTAGATCCTATCTCTACTATATAGCATTCGAGGGTTTGACCACCATTTTCTCATCAGAGGGACCTCTGGAACAACATAGTTCTGTGGAAAAGGTCTAAGGATCTGAAACAGTTCTTTAAAATCTCACCAAAGCACAATTCCCAGGCTTCTTTTGAGATAAACCAGGCCATTTATTTATTATCCTGCTTGTCTCCAGCACAGGATCTAAAGTAGCTCACCGCACAAATTAAAAAGGGATACATCTAAAAGCCGAATACTGTACCACAAAGACAGTTGACTAAGTTATCAAATAAAATAAGCCCCAAATTAAAATAATGTCAGAACAGTTACAAAAGCACAAGAAGTAAAAAGGAAAAAAAGAATACAACTCTTCAGAGTCCCATCCCGTTGGTTGAGATAAACATGCATATAGATAAATTTGCTAGCATCTTTTTGATTTATTGACTACAATGCTTTTTCAAAATTACATATGAATTCAAGTTAATGAAGGAAGGAATTAGGAAGAAATTGGGGGCAACTGGGGAATGGGGAGGCCTAATGTGCCTCATAACCAGTACCGTTTTATTATCTGCATTAGAAGCTGATTGGAAACAAATTGAGTTTCAACCACATATGTGGAAACAAACATGATCCATTGAATAGTTTTAACTATGTCTCATGCTTAACATTTACCGAGTTTTGTGTTATTTTGCAAGGAAACAAGTGTACTTAAGTCATATTCAGCTCAGCAGAGCTTATGTTAAGTATGTATTAAATTGTAGCCTATGCTGCTGTTCAAACAGATTAGCATTTTCTCAGAGAATCATGAGAACTGTTTGTTGCTGTTATGTGCCACCAAGTTGCCTCTGACTTAGGTTGACTCTATGAATGAGTCATCCAAACTTTCCTGTCTTCAACTGCTCTGCTCAGTTCTTGTAAACTCAAGCCTTTAGGGAGATTCCTTTAGGGAGTCGGTTCATCTTATATTCAGTGTTCCTCTTTTCCTGCTTCTTTCTACCTTCCCCAGCATTAGTGTCTTTTCCAGAGAATCCTAACGTTTCATAATGTGTCCAAAGTATGGCAGCCAAAGCTTCAACATTTTCATCTTCAGAGATAGTTCAGGCTTGGTTTGACGTAGGACCAAGTAGTTTGTACAACTAATGAGAGTTCTCTTTGAAAAATTTAGATTCTCAAGAGACCTTTGATTCTGGAGGATTTCTAATTTCTTAATTAGAAATCATATATTTTATACAGATTCAAATTAGTTTAAATTATAGTGAGATGTACTCTTAATTGATGCAAATATGCTAGTTATTAAAATGTCTAACACATACACACACACACACGACTCTTCAGTCACATATAAGGGTGCAGGCCTAAGCAAGTATCTGCTGTTGATGAAGCACAAACATGATTGAAGTCGTTGGGATGTGCGCTGGGATTGCTCCTCTTCTGGGATGAGAGAGGCAACTCACTTGCAAATTTTGAGGTGAGGTGCTCTCCCATGCTCTGATCATGAGTTGTGCATGATATAGGCCACCAAATATGATTGTGAACAGTGTGATATAATGCAAAATGTAATACGGAAGTGAGATAGTGATTTACGGAAGTGAGAGCTGGACCATAAAGAAAGCTGACCGCCAAAGAATTGATGCTTTTGAATTGTGGTGCTGGAGGAGACTCTTGAGAGTCCCCTGGACTGCAAGGAGAATAAACCTATCCATTCTGAAGGAAATCAACCCTGAGTGCTCACTGGAAGGACAGATCCTGAAGTTGACACTTGCATACTTTGGCCATCTCATGAGAAGAGAAGACTCACTGGAAAAGACCTTGATGTTGGGAAAGTGTGAAGGCAAGAGGAGAAGGGGACGACAGAGGACAAGATGGCTGGACAGTGTCATTGAAACTACCAAAATGAATTTGACCCAACTCCAGGAAGCAGTGGAAGACAGGAGGGCTCTGGTCTATGGGGTCACAAAGAGTCAGACACGACTAGCTCGAGTGAACAAAAATGTCAAAATATATACGGGTTTGTGTTTTTGCAAAGTGTAGCCCTGTTGAGGTGGTATAGCCTGAAAGTGTGTAGGGCTGCAGACAAGGTGAAAAAGGGAATGTCATTTATATCTTTGCGCATTCAGCACAAAGAGAACTCTCATTGCTTATGTGAAGGTCTGAAGAGGCCGTTGTGAAGAGTGTTCTGAACACCTGTAATTGAATTCAATTACAGGCATTCAGAACACTCTTCAGATCTTCCCGCTGAATGTGCAAAGGTCTAATTGAGATTTGAGTGATGGGACATTGTGCGTGGGACTCACGTGCATCCCCACCTCTTGACCACAGTTACAACTCCATCTGTTTTAAGGCTATAATATCTGAATTAGTACAGCACATGTTTATTTTAAGTAGCTCCAGGTGTAGGAGTGTGTCTGTATGCTTATATATGTTTGTAGAGTGGATGACAGATCTAGGATGTCTGGAAGTGTGTGTAATTGCATAAGATTGGAGATTGGCTGGAAAAAAATGAGAGAGAGAGGTGCTCGAATGGTGTGTGAATGAGGCTGAGAGAGGCATCCAGGGACTGGAACTTGAGGAGGACATTTGGGAAGAGAAATGGAAATATGTGAGTGATTATGTCTGATTTTTAACTGTTCGCTACACAGGTTTATAGTTCACTATTTTTCGTGTAATGTAACTGTAGTTGAATATTAATGGACTTGAAGAATAGTGAGTAGTCAAATAGCATCTTGGCTTAGTAAGCATGCTTGTTTTGTTTAACCAGGCCCTCTCTCTGACTAAGTATAGCCTAGGACAGTGGAGGCAAACCTTTTTCGGCTCGAGTGCCCAAAATGAGGGGGTGGGGAAGAAACCAGTGGGCTGTCGTGCCGCCCGTAAGACCAGAACCGGAATAGGAAGTGGCAGTTTCAGGGGGAATCGTGGGGACGGACAGAAAGTTAAAGGGGGAATCATGGGACAGACAGGAAGTTAAAGGGGGAATCATGTGGATGGACAGGAAGTTAAAGGACCCAGAACAGGAAGAGAAAGGGGGAATCCCAGTTGCAGCCCTTTCAGAAGGTTTGCTGCGTGCCAGAAGAAAGGACTTCACGCGCCAGCTGTGGCCTGCATGCCATAGGTTCACCATCACTGGCCCAGGATTTGAAAATGAATGTATCAAACCTTGAGAGCTATACAATGGTTATACTGAGAAGAGGATCTTGTGAAGATGGTGGCGGCAGCAGCACTTTGAATTGAGAGCGTGAAGGCCTGGTTGCTTGTCCAGTTTGGTGTTACTTTGTGAGACTGCCAATAGAGAAGGGCAAGGGAATTCCACAAACTAAATTCTGTGCTGAAATGTGTGGTGCTCTTGAGCTGCTTTGTTCTCTTTTTTCCTGCCTGAAACAAGTTGTAAGCCCTTGGACAAGCTCTCAAAGCGTCTTGTTCTTGACAAGTCCCCCTTTTCTTCCTTGTTTCCAAAGAAGGCTCTTACTCCCGTGGAATGCGGTTGCTACCACCCATGCATCTACTGAATCAATGTGTTACTGCAAGCTGCAGACCAATTTTAATTAATTAATTTTGATCTTAAAATAATTAAAAGATAAAATAACCCTAAAATGTACACCTCAGATGTTTGGAGCTATCATAGAGACAGACGTGAACACACAGAGAAACATTTGTATAGGTGGCTCCATTGTCATTGGATTATTTTCCCCAGCATTAACACACATGCAACTTCAAGTATAATCCAGTTAAATAAAATGCACAGATTTAAGACCAAATAATCCCACTAACTCTACTGACACAGACTTGAGATAAACTTTAATACCCTGTTTCTCTGACAATAAGACCTAACCTGAAAATAAGCTCTACTATGATTTTTCAAGATGCTTGTAATATAAGCCTTACCCCAAAATAAGCCCTAATTAAGTGAAACACTGCCCTCCACCATTGTGCAGCAACCAGAAGATGATGACATGACTGTATTTGAATAAATGTATATCGTTGTTCATGACAAAAATACCACATCCCCTGAAAATAAGCCCTAATACGTTTTTGGAGCAAAAAAATTTTTTCCGGGGAAACACGGTACTTCCAGAGTAATTAGGTTGTGGTTTTCCTGTTGTTTGCATTTTGGAAAATCCCCTGAAATCCATGAAAATAAATGAGACTAAAATTAAAAGATAATCTTTTATACTTTTTATCTTTAATTGCATGGTATTAACACAGATACTTATCCAAGAATGATTCCTATGTGATAAGTGCTGTCCTTAGCATTAGATAAGGGTGTCTCTCAAATTAGGCTGCCAGTTTTAAGGTATCATTTATTTATTAGTGACTCCTTCAGGTGCTACCATTCCTCCAGTGAACCTGCACAGTTCTCCTCCTTCCTCTTTTATCCTCACAACCTGTGACAGCCTGAGGGAGCGCGATTGATGCACCCAGTGGAATGAATCCAACAATAATCACTTAGAAAAGACACGTATCTAGATTCTAGATCTCTCAAATAGCACTCCGGTTGCAGAGTTTTGAATTTTTGGTAAAATTTCTTTTTTTTTTTGATACAGAGTAGAAGTACAGAGATTCACAGAGGAGAATAGCTTTAAGTTCCCATATAGTCCTCTTTCTCATTAACTGGCACAGTCTCAATAACTCACTCTGAGACATTAGTGGTAGAAAGAATAAACATATTTCGTTACTTACAATTGGTAGCTGCAAACAGCAGGCAAACCACTGATAACTGACTTCAGCAGACAGAAGAGAACTGAAAAAAGAATTCTTTGAATTCTGAGGTGGGAGGGAATGATTGATTACTGCTGAATAGCACCCCAGTCCAGAAAGGTCCCTCCCAGATGAACAAGGTATAGGCAGCATGCGAGGCTGTAAAACTCCCAACAGTTCAACACTTTTAGCAACTGTACTCCATTAACTGTAGGCCAAGTTGTTTTAAAATTTGTTCTGGCCTGAGCGCAC